GATAGAAAAGGTGTAAATTACGCAGCTCATTTACGCACGTTTCCTGAAGATAGAAGTGTTTGTTGAATCTGACGTGACATGTTCGTACGAACACTTTGTACGAACAAAAGTAAGAGAAATTTAGGAGAAGAATACGAACATGTTCTTGCATGAGGCCCAATGTTCGGGTTCAGATCAGGGAGGCTGTTCCTCCCAATCACCCCCATCCAGATGACTCTGTCACATGGGCATTGAAGTTACCCATCAGAATAAGGGAGTCTCCAGATGGCACCCATTCCAAGACACCATCCAAGGATTCCAAAAAGGCCATGTAATCTGAACTGATGTTTGGTGCATAAGCACAAACAACAGTCTGAACCTTTCCTCCTGCAGCACAAAGCCGCAGAGAGGCAACCCTCTCATCCACCGGCATGAACTCCAACACCGAGTCACACAGCTGGGGGCTTGTGAGTATCCCCACACCCGCCCATCACCTCTCTCCCTAGACAACTCCAGAGTAGGAAAGAGTCCAGCCCCTCTCTAAGAGTTGGGTTCCAGAGCCCAAGCTGTGAGTTGAGGTGAGCCCAGCTACAGTATACGTATCTAGGTGGTAATGCTTAAGAAACCTGATCTTGATTCAGGCGTTCTGGCCAACTATAGACCTATATCTATATCCCATTCATCTAAAACATTCTTGAGAAAATAGTTGCAAATCATCTATGTGAACATCTGGATAAAAATTACCTACATAAGGAGTTTCAGTCAGGGTTTAGAGCTCATCATAACACAATGATCAGACAGGGAAGTGAAGACAAGACACAGAATTTAAAGGTGAGACTAATGAGCACAGACAAGAAACACCAGGGATAGAAACATGAGGAGCAGGTGAGAGTGGGTGGGGCTGGAGCAAAGGCAGACAGGAGGAAGAAAACAGATAAGACAGAAAACTAAAATAAAACATAAACACAGACAACAATCATAACACAAATATTTAGGTCCCCTAATTCTAAAGCACTGATGCACTGAAAAATGTGGCAAAAGCTAATTCTAAAGCACCAAAATAACCCAGCCAACTCATGAACATCCTTCAACAGACAACATGAGTCACATGTTGCCATGTTGCTCTCTTAAGGCTTATTGACATTCCACAGCTGTATTTGGGTTCATATATTGTCAATATATTGTCACCTGGTGGATAAGTGACACATAAGAACAAAATGTGTGACAGCTTGCACCATCAGCTGTTAAATTAACATTTATCAATAACATTTATAGACCTCAGTTAGTGCTTCTAAATTTCACCTATAAATTTTACAAGTGCTAATCCACTAATAAATTTTAAAATTAGCAAAAGCACTAATCAGGAAATTAGTTCCTTAGTGCTTTAGTGCTTTAGGGGAACTGTGCCCACCACTGATAGATGGATTTATAAAGCTGACGGTTTTCTTTTTTTTTTTTTTTTT